GGGGGGCCGTGCCCTGCGCATTTTCATACCTCTTCAGACTCGTCACACGCTGATCCCCCGTGGGCTGCATGGGAGAGCATGCACGGGGCCCAGAGGGAGGTGTGGTGCCGCTTTTCCGGGCAGTTCCTTCCGGTGGCTCGTCTGGGCTCTGGTACGTGGGCACTGCAGACCTGCCTCAGGGCTGCCGCCTTGCGTCTGGCACATCCTGTCTGGGTCCAGAGGTGGGGGTCTTTTAATGCCTGCGCTCAGCAGTGAATGTCCCTGTGGATGCGGCTCTCTCTTCCCTGCGGAGCACCGGGGCTGCCCAGGAAGGTTGCTCGCGGTCCCCCGCAGGGAAACCCCGCCCACCCTGTCTGCTGAGAGGCTGCAGCCTCATCTGAGGGGCAGCAGGGGCAGCTCAGTGCCAGGTGAGCAGGGGCGATGGCTGTGTGAAATAGAGACGGGAGGCACATGGCCGGGCCTGCGGCAGGGCCCCTGCTGTGCTGACTCGCACGCGCAGTGCCGCCCGGAGCAGCCAGGTGACCGGACAGTTGTGCGGGAGGCGTGCTCAGTGCCAGGAGTCAGTCTCCCTTCCCAGGAGCCCGCCCTCCAGCTTCCCCCGCAGCCAGGGCTGCAACGGATGTGCAGTCCTGGTGCGCAGCCAGGTGACGAGACAAGCTTCCTGGGCGGTCGGGGCTGCTGACCACACCCTGGGAGGCTGAGAACAGCAGAAGTTGGTTTTCTCTTAGTCCTGGAGGGCAGATGTCCGACGTCAGGGTTGGAAGGGTCCCGTTCCCCTCGGAGGCTGCAGGGGAGGGGCCTTCCCGCCTCCCCAGCTCCTGGGGCTCCAGTGGCCGCAGCCCCCGATCGCTGCCTCAGCCTCACAGCCGTGCTCTGGCTTGGCGTCGTCTGAACTATGTCTGCAAAGACCCGCTTTCCCAATGAGGGCACCCTCTGAGGGCCCAGGTGGATGTGAGCTGGGGGGCCTGCCTGGCTTCTTGAGTGGCTGTTGCTGGGCTGCCTCCAGATCTGAGCTTCTGCCTCGCCCTCGCCCTCGCCATACCACTCACTTCTCTCTGAGCTTGGCTTCGGCATTTGGGAAGTGGGGGGTGGGAGCCCTGCTCAGTGCTCCGGAGGAGTGAGGCCCGGAGTCTTGGGTGTCTAGCCCCACGTGTGTGTGTTCAGGAGAGGGACAGAGAGTCCCTGACAGTGTTCAATGTGTGTCTTCATGGTGGTGGTGACATCACTACAGATATTTTAAAGATAGGGTAGCTGGGCTCATTCCAGGCCAGCAGCGTCCAGTAGAACTTCTTGTGACTTTGGATATGTCCTTCCTCTGCACCAGCCTCCTGGAGCTGCTGAGTGCTTGAAGAACTGAGTGTTTAAATGACGGTGTGTGGCTGGTGACGGCTGGACAGGGCAGCCCCCCACCGCAGGTCATGCAGTCGAGCACCTGGGGACCCTGTGTGGCAGTGCCTTTCAGACAAGGGTGCGGGAGGACCTCGGGGCTTTTCTGGGGGTCTGTAAGCATCACTCCTGAACCTCTCAGGGCAGAGGGGAGGTTGCCAGGGAAGGAGGTGGGTGGAGGAGAAAACAGCGCTGCACC